AGGGATGGAGAGACAGGACACAGGGAATGGCTTCCCACTGCCAGAGGGCAGGGAGAGATGGGATATTGGGAGGGAACTCCTCCCTGGGAGGGGGCTGGGATGGAATTCCCAGAGGATGTCCCATCCCTGGAAGTGTCCAAGCCCAGGGTGGATAAACTTGGAGCAACCTGGGACAGTGGGAGGTCCCTGCCCACGGCACTGGATGGGCTTTAAGGTCCTTCCCACCCCAAACCAGCCTGGAATTCCATGAAAACCCTGGGATTTTCCACCCAACCCTTCCAAACACAAGCTCTACAGAAGCCACCAGACACGTTTTTAGGGATGTGAGCGGGAAAGGCTCCAAACTGTCGGCACAAACAGGGAAAACTGGGCTGTCCTACATCCACAAACACCACGGGAATTCCCACAGGATCCCCCAGGATCCCAAGCAAGGAATTCCTAAGCAGCAGGAAAGTGGGAAAGAGGGATTGAGCCTCAGCTCCGGGGTTTAGAAGGAATTAGTGCCACAGGAAGGAGCAGGAGGGATCCCAAGCCTGGATCTGGGTCAGGAAGAGGGGACAGGAGAGTCCCATCCAGGTCGGAATTCCCAGAGAACACACGGAGCACCACGGGAGGGGATACACTCAGCACCCTCTGAGTGCGGTTTTTTGGGATTGGGGCCTGGAAAAGGAGCAGTCAGGTACCTGTGTGGGTGTGATCCCGAGAGAAAAGCAGCTGGAAAGAACAGAAGAAGGGAAATCAAATCCAACCCTTCCCAGGGAAGGACAGTGGAACCGGGATCAGGGACCATCCAGGGATTTCCCAGCCCTCCGGAACACAGGGATGGGCTGGGAGTGTCACTCCCTGGAAATACAGCTCCAGTTCCCGTGGTTTTCCCCCCAGGGAAGGACATGAAACCAGGATCAGGGACTATCCAGGGATCTCCCACCACTCCGGGCTGGGATTGTCTCTCCCTGGAAATCCAGGTCCTTGAAGGTGAAACGAGTCTCCGCAATTCCCATGGTTTTCTCCCCAGGGAAAGACAGTTTAACCAGGATCAGGGACTATCCAGGGATTTCCCAGCCCTCTGGGACACAGGGAAGGGCTGGGACTGTCTTTGGGAATGGCTGGAACTGTCACCCCCTGGAAATCCAGCTCCAATTCCCGTGGATTTCACAGCCCAGGGAAGGACGTTAAACCAGGACCAGGGATTTTCCCAGGATTTCCCAGCCCTCTGGGATCCAAGGAATGCCACTCACTTGAAGTACAGGTCCTTGAAGGTGAAGTGAGTCTCCACAATTCCCGTGGTTTTCACCCTGGTCCGGAGCACGTCCTGCTGGGTGGGGATGTAGCTGTGCTGGGAGATGCGCTCCAGGTCGTTCAGGTAACTGGGGCGGGAAAACAGGGATGGCTTCAGAGCCGGGAATCTGGGATTGGCATGGGATTGAGTGCTGGGAATATGGGATCGGGATTGAATTTAGTGCTGGGAATCTGGGATCAGCTTCAGCGCTGGGAATCTGGGATCGGGATCAGTTTCAGTGCCAGGAATATGGGATCAGGATTGGCGTCAGCGCTGGGAATCTGGGATTGGGATTGGCTTTAGTGCCGGGAATCTGGGATTGGGATCAGTTTCAGTGCTGGGAATCTGGGATCAACTGCACGGGAGCTGCTCCAGCCCCTCCTCCTCCACAGCCAGGGGGAATGCCGGGATTTGGGAACGCCGGGATTTGGGAATGCCAGGATTTGGGATGGATGTGGACGGGAGCTGAGCTGGGGGGAGGGATGGGGAGCTGTGCCAGGCTGGGATCCGTGCCAGGGGGGATCCCTGTGCCAGGCTGGGATCCCTGTGCCTCCCACCCAATCCCAGCCTGCTGTGGATCATTCCATGATCTGGGAATGGATTTCCCAAGGGATGCCCCATCCCTGGAAGTGCCCAAGTGCCCAAGCTGGATAAACTTGGAGCAACCTGGGATAGTGGAAGGCATCTCTGGAAATGGATCTGGAATTGCTCTTCCCACCCAAGTCATTCCAGGTTGAAATTCCACACCATTCCAAGCTTAAATTCCAAACCATTCCAGGCTTAAATCCCAAGCCATTCCAGGCTGAAATTCCAAACCATTCCATGCTGAAATCCCAAGCCATTATATGATTAAATCCCAAGCCATTCCAGGCTTAAATTCCAAACCATTCCAGGCTTAAATTCCAAACCATTCCAGGCTTAAATTCCAAATCATTCCAGGCTGAAATTCCCAGCCATTCCAGGCTTTCCCCCGTGCTCCCTGCAGGCAGCCCAGCCCCTCCCGGGTATCCCCCGGCCCCTCCTGCCCCCAGTCCCAGCCCTTCCCAATCCCGGGAATGTTCCGTTCCCTCACTATGCGGCGGAGTCGTTGAGCTGGTATTCCCGGGATCTGCTGAAGCAGGCCTGCACGCCGGGATCGCTCCAGAGGCGCTGGATGAGCGCGGAGAGCTCGGCCGTCAGCGTCCCCTCCTCGGCACTGCCCGCCAGCACAAACAGCTGCCGGGCATCGTCCTGGAAAACCGGGAATGAACCGGGAATGAACCGGGAATGAACC